GGGCTCCCGCGGCCTCCACCCCCCTCCATGAGGGCTCCCGCGGCCTCCACCCCCTCCGTGAGGGCTCCCGCGGCCTCCACCCCCTCCGGGAGGGCTCCCGTGGCCTCCACCCCCTGCATGAGGGCTCCCGCGGCCTCCACCCCCTCCGGGAGGGCTCCCGTGGCCTCCACCCCCTCCATGAGGGCTCCCGCGGCCTCCACCCCCTCCGGGAGGGCTCCCGCGGCCTCCACCCCCTCCGTGAGGGCTCCCGCGGCCTCCACCCCCTCCATGAGGGCTCCGGCGGCCTCCACCCCCTCCATGAGGGCTCCCGCGGCCTCCACCCCCTCCATGAGGGCTCCCGCGGCCTCCACCCCCTTCGTGAGGGCTCCCGTGGCCTCCACCCCCTGCATGAGGGCTCCCGCGGCCTCCACCCCCTGCATGAGGGCTCCCGCGGCCTCCACCCCCTCCATGAGGGCTCCCGCGGCCTCCACCCCTCCGTGAGGGCTCCCGCGGCCTCCACCCCCTCCGGGAGGGCTCCCGTGGCCTCCACCCCCTGCATGAGGGCTCCCGCGGCCTCCACCCCCTCCGGGAGGGCTCCCGTGGCCTCCACCCCCTCCATGAGGGCTCCCGCGGCCTCCACCCCCTCCGGGAGGGCTCCCGCGGCCTCCACCCCCTCCGTGAGGGCTCCCGCGGCCTCCACCCCCTCCGGGAGGGCTCCCGTGGCCTCCAACCCCTGCATGAGGGCTCCCGCGGCCTCCACCCCCTGCATGAGGGCTCCCGCGGCCTCCACCCCCCTCCATGAGGGCTCCCGCGGCCTCCACGCCCTCCGGGAGGGCTCCCGCGGCCTCCACCCCCCTCCATGAGGGCTCCCGCGGCCTCCACCCCCCTCCATGAGGGCTCCCGCGGCCTCCACGCCCTCCGGGAGGGCTCCCGCGGCCTCCACGCCCTCCGGGAGGGCTCCCGTGGCCTCCACGCCCTCCATGAGGGCTCCCGCGGCCTCCACGCCCTCCATGAGGGCTCCCGCGGCCTCCACGCCCTCCGGGAGGGCTCCCGTGGCCTCCTCCAACAATCGCCACGTATTGTCAAAACATTATCGCTCTTAGAGACAACAACAACGGTTGAACTACAGGGTTGTGAGGTTTGTTGTGGTGAGAGGGGGTTGTGGCAGTGTCGGTTGTGGTCTATGATAACGATGAGAGGGTGGGGGGGCTGGGGCACGTTGTGGGGGGATAGGGGTGGTGATGGGGCCAGTTGTAGTTGACTACTGATGAAAGCGATCGTACTTAGCTCAAGAATTCCAGTAGATGGGAAGGATTGCGTTACTAGCACAAGTTTAATATAATTGCTTATTAATTCAATCCTGGTTGATGATATACAATCTCATTAGGAAAGGCGGAATGTCAGGTAATCGAGTTCTCACTATATAAATTGCGTTGATTTTACAAATTAGAGATAGTTGTTATGCGTCGAATTCTCTCTCTCTCTCTCTCTCTCTCTCTCTCTCTCTCTCTCTCTCTCTCTCTCTCTCTCTCTCTCTCTCTCTCTCTCTCTCTCTCTCTCTCTCTCTCAAGAAGACTTTCAGATCGCCAGCTTGTCAAGCCGTTAGGGCACTGCGCTTAATCCATCTTCATCTGCCTGCTCCCTGTCACTGTGTTTTGTTACTAAATACTCTTTTGATGAACGCAAAAAATAAGATAAAATAAAGTTGGTGAGGTGCACGTAAAGGGGGGGGGGAGAGAGAGAGAGAGAGAGAGAGAGAGAGAGAGAGAGAGAGAGAGAGAGAGAGAGAGAGAGAGGGAAAGAGAGACAGACATACCCTTCATGACCGAACTCTAAGGGCAACCCATAATGGGGTATAATCTGCGACAGTTGGTGGCCTCCCAACCTCAAGGTTATGGGCTCGGCCCCTTATTGAATGTCTTCGTCAGTGGTTGGTGGTGATGGTGGTGGCAGCGAGGGAGACCCTGCAGGGATTTAAGACCCTATAGAGACACAGGTGACATATTGAAGTCCTGCGGGACGGTTGTTCTAATCCCCTTAGGGTAAGGGGGATATCCTTACCCCTCTACTTTCCCCAACTTAACCCCACATCACCCCCCAAATTCCTCACCCCTCACAACGACTATTCGCCTTTTCACACCTACCTCCTCTCTCTCTCTCTCTCTCTCTCTCTCTCTCTCTCTCTCTCTCTCTCTCTCTCTCTCTCTCTCTCTCTCTCTCTCTCTCTCTCGCTCTCTCTCCTCCTTCCTTGTATCTTTGTTTTCTTCTCTTTCTCGTGCCTTTCTCTTCCCATTCTTGGGAAGCAATATCCCACAAAGTCCATAAACTACGTCAAGTGCATTTTTATCGCCTTTGCGAAGTTGTGCCGACTGCCACCCTCAGCCTTAGAGAAGCTCGATCTGTTTCAGTTTTTACACTGTCTTAAATGGTGCTCCTTCGACCCTTTCCCCAGCCTCAAGCAGCAGTCAGGCCAGGTGGTAGAGCGAGACGGGCAAGTGATGCTATCAGATACATTACTTTTTGGTTTGAGGATGGTTCTTTGTGTGTGTGTTTGTGTTTCGTTTGTGTGTCGTGTGTGTGTGTGTTTGTATGTGTCGTGTGTGTGTGTGTGTGTTTGTATGTGTCGTGTGTCTGTGTGTTGACTGGGCCATATTGTACACGAGACTTCTTGTGCAGGTTCCAAGCCTTTTGTCGCAGTCAAAGATCGTGCAATCTACAGACTTGTCTCTGGCTTGTTTGATTTCTGCCGTCTCGCCATAAAATTGTTACAAAGGGTTCAAGCACGTTTTAGTGTAACATAAATCTATATGTAAAGATGATAATGAACATTTTATATATATATAATACATCTATAATATTTATATAGTATTTTGAATCCATAACTTCAAGTGGGCTCATAATATAACCCCAAATGTTATTAGTATTTGCAAGACAAGCGGAAGGCAGCAGGACACTCTCCGCCCTTCTGCAGCGTGAGGAGGCACGCGCCGCCCTGGAAGGAACTCCTAGAGCAGAGCGTTGACGCCCCCTGGCAGGTCCCCCCCAGACGACCAGCTGGCCAGAAAGATGGGGTCAGACGCCGCGGCCCCTCGCCCTCTCTCTCTCTCTCTCCGCTAGAAGATAAAACCGGAGCAAACATATTGAGCGCTCAGGGAATCGCACGCCCGCATTATATTCTTGAAGACACTCTTGACCAGGCGCTAGTCTTTCTTACGAGCTCCATTACGAGCAGGGCCATTTCCGCAATATGTTAGCCGGGCCACTGAAGTATGACTTAATATTATGGTTCCATATTACTCCTGCTGGGGAGACAGTTCGCTCGCACGCGGTCGCTTTCGCTCAGAGTGGGAACCGCTGTGTGTGTGTGTGTGTGTGAGGGAGATAGAGAGAGAGAGGGGGGAGACGAAGGCCGCGTATCGTCATTTCTTTACCTCTGTTTCAGGTCTCCTGATAACCGTCACTAAAGAAAATCGTTTTAATTACATTGCAACTGAGGTGCCAATATGGCATCTGAAGCTTCACTTGGCTCTCTCGTCCTGTTAAACCCATGCATGATCCCCACCCGATCTCCTGAAGAAGGCTGGAGTGGAGGGCAAGGAGAGAGAGAGAGAGAGGGAGGGCGGGAGAGAGGTTGTGCGTGGTGAGAGCGGGTGTAAGACAGTGGAACACGACGAGGGCGGCTGGGAGGCGGGCGGCCCGTCGGTGTCGCGATATTACCGCGTGTCTTGACAAACGGCCTCATTTCACACCCCAAAATGGCTTCCTTAAGCACCTGTCATCTTTCATAGGGCCCGACCCGATACTGGGGTGACGTACGAGAGGCAGTTAAGGCCAGATTACTGTATTGACACTGAGTTATACACTGTCATTGTGGGCCCAGCTAATGGACCTCCGTGTCGCCGCTATTGACAGTAAATATATAGTGTAGGGATGAACCAGGGATCGTACCAGCTTCGTCCTGACCTGCCCATGGGCGCCAGCTGCCTCGAAATGCCAGGTGGCACAGCTCGAGGCCCGACAACGCTCGTGTTCCAATATATCCTCGCTAGATGGTGCTATACGCACTCCAGCGCTGTTAGTGGGCTCTACCAGCTGTCTGATGGCTCACAGCTGGTGTTCCTATATTACTGGTGCTCTCCCACGATCTAATGCTCCTATATGCTTCAACTGCTGCCATCCTACACAACCTGTTGTCTTACATGTTAATGTATACATAGTCATTGTGTACATATATATATATATATATATATATATATATATATATATATATATATATATATATATATATATATATATATATATATATATATATATAATATAATTCTGAGTGCGTGTTCGTTGGTGCATATATGGACCTGAAACGCGTGTTCCTGTCGGGTCTATGGTAGTATCCGCTTGTCTGTGTTTGAGAGCTTTCAGAAAAAGTTAGTCTTGCGTCCAATAACGTGTCGACTGGCAAAATATTCCACAAATTTTTCATACAAGGGGGAGGGAGGGAGGGAGGGGGGGCATTTTGCCCTGACCTGCTGCCCAGTGGGGGGGGGAGGGGTCAAGGGTCACCTCTGTTTAACCCCTGTTGAAGTATTTACTCTCGTTATGTCACTTATGCTTCTTTTTCTTTACCCTTACCCCTAATAAGGGTAAAAAAATCCCTTTACCCTAATTTATGTGAACGAGCTACCCAAGGGGGTGTTCCCAGGCATGTCAATGTTTGCTGGCGATACGTGGCTAATGTGGCGCGTTAACTCGGCTGAAGACTCTCTTTTCGGTCAGGACGGACCGAAACGTCGTCGTCTCTTCAATTTCTAGTGTGTGGTTTGGTCAGCATTCTTCAGTCACGTTATTGTGACTCCTTATCTGCACTCGGAGGAAGACTATCGAAGGTTACGCGATGATCTTGATAACTCCTGGAGTAGGCAAACAAATGGTTATCTTGAGGTTATCTTAAGATGATTTCGGGGCTTTAGTGTCCCCGCGGCCCGATCCTCGACCAGGCCTCCACCCCCAGGAAACAGCCCGTG